TATATATATATATATATATTTATATATTTTACGTTTATATATATATTTATAGATTGAAAACATAAGTATATTATTAATGATATTATATGTGATTATAAAGAAATATTTTTTAAACTAATATACATATAATATTTACAATGACGTACATAATTATAACTTCTTATATCACATATTTGATTTTAATATTTACATTACATATTATTCTAAAAATATTTACAATGCGTACCAATTTACATACCATAATTTCTTTTCTGCTTCTACCAGGGCCGTATCTATGAATTTTTGGGCCTTAGGTAAAAGTTAAGACAAGGGCCTATGTTAATATAGCCCAATAATTTTTATGTTATTTTTCTAGTTTTTTAAGTTGCAAAATTATTTATGAAAGTTTTATAATCAAGTAATTCTAACATATCACTCTCAATAGATAATATAGTTAATCCGTTCAATCTATCTTGTAGTATAGTTGATCTTAAATATGATGGGGGGGGGAGTAACTAAATTTGGTGGGAGAAAGGGAAAAAAATTATAAAATCCATTAAAAATGTAAATGACACATTTATCTTTTTATTATATTATATAAATATGTTATTGAAGATAAATATATCTTTATAACACAATTTACTTTTACTTTTACTTCTTTCTTACTTCTATCGATTGAAGCAACTTAAAAATCTTACTGTTTTTAAAGTCATTTTTCTCTTCTCTTCTCTTTTTTTTTTTTTCCTTCACTTCTTTCTTTTTAAAACATTTCATCTTCTGTTTAATACATTATTAGGTTTCTTATCTTTTTGAAAAAATTTTAATTATACCCTTAAATTAAATATAAAAATATAACTAATTCTTGATCTTCTTATAATATTTTTACATTGATCTTTTAATAATATTTATAATTAGAGTTAGTAAAATTCTCACAAATTATTACTTTTCTAACAATTTGAAATCACTAAAATTAATCGCAAAATTTTCATTACAAAAAAATATATTAAAGATTAAAGTCAATTACAATTTTTTAAAATATAGAAATTTAATTAAAAATTAAGAAAAAAGTAATGAACCAATTAATGCAATAAAGTTTCATCCTCCAAATAAAGCATAAAATTCATCGCTACCCACATGAAATCAAGGAAAAACAAAAAACCTTGCAGTGTTGTACACAACAACCAAGAAATGCTACAATTTAGATATCCTCATTTTGGCGTTGAATCTTTCCATTTATAGAACAAAGAGCAAGTTTGCAACAAAATCGGCTTCTTAATTATTTCGAAGTTATCACTCTCCCACGTGGAGAGTTCTCGTGGTTTTTCTTGGGTTTATTGTAAAAAAATAATATATTTCTTGTATATATTAATCGAAAAGAACAAATAATTCTTGATTTTAATAATTTATTTATACTCTTCTATATATCGAAAATAATTTACTCAGTTACAAAATAGATAAGGAAAGAGTTCCTCACTTATTCAAATACTAAGGATTGTTTAGAATTTTTCCCCCCCAACCAAATAAGGTGGATAATCTTGTTATTTGAAACTATTTCGTTTGATCAACATGTCTTTAGTTCGTATGAAATTAAACTCATTTTTTTAAAAGAAAAATCTTAAATTAGTGTCATATATATATATAATTGAGAAATGAAATTTTATTAAAGATAGTCAACTAGATTTTTCAACAAAAAAAAAAATCAATTATTTGCGACACAGGTAGATAGTTCACATAATATGGTTATAGAAAAAAAGAATGTACTCTTTCATTCATACTTTAAAGTTTAATACATTTTTTTTTGTCTCTAAATAATGGTCATATATATGACATTTCATTCGACTCATAAGAAATTAACTTATATTATAAGTATTGATTTTAAATTTTAAAAGGATGGGAAAAAAGTAAATAGTTTTCATATGAAATTATGAATACCAAAACCAAAATTTGATAAGTTGTTTTTTTGGCATTATTACTTTGTATGTTTAGATTTATCTACGATCACATGAAAAAGGTTAGGATGGCTCACACTCACATGATTTTTCACAGCTTCGATATTTGAGTGCATGTCCTTTTAATTTATTTATAGTCTTTGTCGTGACTAACTAGGCTACATGGTAGAAGTACTCTGTTTAGCTAGGTCCCTCGATCAAAACTCATTTCTCACTGTGCATGTGTTGATGTTGAATATTTTCCCAGTCTTCAAGGCCTTCATGGATTCTGAGCTGTAACAACTTTGAGGGTTTTGAAATTTGTGTTATAAATGATTATTCAATCACGATGTCAAATACCAAAGTATCCTTATTACGAATACAACTATTTTATATTTTGTAGGCGGAAAAAATGAGATCGAAAGGAAAGAATTTATTAATTCCAATTAGTTGAATTCTCTTATGAGAATTAATCATTTATAAAAAAATATAAATAAGATTATGTATGAAGATAGTAAAATAGTTTTATATAATTATTTGATCACAAATTATCATGTATAAATAAATTAATAAAAAAAAATATCATTTCACATAAATAAACATAATATTAATTTTTTAGATCATTAATATTACAAAAATTTAATATAATAATTCTTATAAATAAAGACTACAAAACATTCAATTTTTATAAATAAATTTTAAAAATAAAATTCAACATAATAAAAATTATAATTAAACTTATCATGATCTTGTGTAAACAATATTCTTTAAAACCTGTAAAAAAATTATAAACAAATTACTTAGATTAAAATTATATATTAAATTATTTGCGATAGATCTAAAAAAAAAAACAAATATATAAACATCTGACTTCATCATTAGAATCAACTTTTTCATATTTTTGTAAATACTTATTTTCTAAGTCTATATATTGTTTTAGTCCAATGATACCAATAAAAACTACATGACCAATAAAATGAATGATTAGATAATTGAAATCAACGATAAAAAATAAAATAAATTTTATTAAATAAATAAAATTTAATTATTTATTATCTTATTATTTGTGTTTCAGCCAATTTTGTGCACACATAAGTGTCTCTAAAGTAAATTTATGGAACCTAGGATGATAAGGACTCAAAAATCTACCTCTTGTACTAAATGCAAATTCTGAAAACTACGGTTGAAATTGAAATTACCAAAACATCCTTAGTAGTTTTTTACAAAATTGGATACTTGACCCATTTGTTTTTCATCGTCCAAGAATGTCAACAGTAACACTCATAGACAAAACTTTTTCTTTCAAGTAAAACTCCATTTTAGACTTTATTTATATTTCAATTGTATCATTCACAAATGAGTCATAATCAGTAAAACAATTGTTAATATTTAAATTATTTAAGTTTGATTCGTTGACACTTATTCATGAAGTTAAACTTTTCATTATTTCCTAGCTTTATTTTGGTACTCTTTAAAGAATGAGTAGCATAATTTCTTGATATTATTAATTTTAATTAAAGATTAACTACCATATAAAGCTTAAAAAAATACTTCAACAACTTCAACTTGTATATTGGATCGAAAATAATAATAATATTATTATATTAATTTATATATATTTGTATATATTTATATATAAATAAATTATTGTTATTAAGTAATTATATATATATATATATAATTGCAAGATGGAGCGGGTCGGATATCATAGTACTCGTGCCCACACCCGCATCTATTAAATTTTGCAGGTCTATACCCATTCCGTATCCGTATTTATTTCGCATAAAGATATTTTTGTATATACCCATAAAATATGGGTCTATTTTGTCTATATTATAGTAAAAAGTAAGATATAATTTAAATAAACCTCACTAAAAAAAAGTAAAATTTTAAATAGTACTACTTAATAAGACATTCATTTCATTTAAAACTAACTAAGAATCTCTAAACCTCACTAAAAAAAGTAAAATTTTAAATAGTACTACTTAATATGTTCATTTCATTTAAAACTAACTAAGAATCTCTATTAAAAAAAATTGACATTTAGCGTATATTATAAAATTAATAACCAATAAACGATTGACAACAACAGAATACAGCTAAAAATATTTCATTCATCAACTCGTACGTTCTAAGTAAACTAATGATTTTGAATTCAAATTTTTAAGTATACATGTTGTATTAAATACTTAAAGAGATGACTTTTTCATCTAATAATAATCATATACTTGATTCGAACATAATTATTTTCGATAAATGATTCATGTTAAATAGACAAAAGTTAATGCTGAAAATATAATTGAGGCTATTATACCAAATAAACACTTCTGATTAACATTGTACACTAAACTAACATAATTTGGTAGCTTTTGGAGTGATAGTTAGTGCGTCGGCAAAGGGGTCCAAAAACCAAAACAAGATATGGATCATAATTATCTTGAACATGATCTTGTGCTTCACAATTTTTAAAACACCACAATCCCCTGCGTCCTGCATACTTGTCCATGCTTTTCCTGGCTGTCGTATCTCATTTTCAAATAATCAGTTTTGTGTTTGATTCCCACACAATGGGATTCATAAGGTCAACCAACCACACAACCCTCAAATAAAGGTGTAGGTCATGACCCTGACAGCTTACACCAGACCCAATTTGGGTCTTCACTTATGTTTAAAATGTCAAGTGCTTTTAAAGATAATGTTGTTAGATCATTGTTAATAAGAAAAACTAAGCATTTCCATCGTCTTGATTGTACTTTATAAAGTACACATTGGACGGTTATGTATAAATTAATGAATCTCCGAAATTATGCATGTTACTATAATCACCCTCTCAAAATCTCGGATCATTCAAAATCAATTAGGGCATGATCCGGAAACTATAGTGGGTGGCCACCCAATTAATGCTTCATATGTTCAAACGTTTAGTTCAATTTTTAATTAAGCCAACACTACTCATAATATCCACTTACTAATGAAAACAAATTAAGATGCCCCGTTAACCACACCCATATTGGTGACGTCCTTTTCTTTTTCATCTAGTTCTTTGTTTTTTCGAAACAACCCAAATTAGTATGAATATTTTTTTCTCATTTTAAAAGTCTAATATGATTTATATGAATTATTAAGGGTTGTAAAGTGAGATGAAGGTGACGGGTTAATTTGTCTGATCCGGCAAAATTAGTGAGATGGTTCACGTAATTTCAACCTACACTTAAATTAGGTCGATCTTGAAAATAGGTAACCAATAAATATGAACCCATATATATATATATATATATATATATATATATATAAAAAAATATTTTAAAAAAAAAATA